TGGAGAACCTGGTGCAGAGGCTGAGAAGTGCAGCTCTACCTCTTCTCACAGGCCAGCTCGGCTGCTGAGTATAAAACCTCCCTGTGCACGGGACCCTGTGCCCAGCACTTGCCCTGCTTGATCCCATTGCAATCTCACAGTAATCCTACCAGGACGGTTTTTGTTGTCTCCATTTGCTTTGATTTGTTTTTTTTTTTTTTTTTTTGAGACGAGGTTTCTCTGTGTAGTGCAGGCTGGCCTTAGACTCACTTTGTAGCCCAGCCTGGCCTCAAACTCACTGCAATCCTCCTGCCTCAGCCTCGTGAGGGCTGGGATTACAGGTGTGCGCCACCACGCCTGGCTTATGTTGTCCTCATTTCACAAGTGAGAAAACCATGGCATAAGGAGGCCAGGTGACTTGGTTAAGGAAGAGTGGAGCTCTAGGACCCACACCCTGACCACTCATTGGGTAACTGGTCCTGCCACATAGTTGTATTAGATAAGAAATTTGTAGTTTATGGTAAAGGCTTAAGGTTAACATTAATTTTCATATTAATTCCTGTCTCAGAAAAAAAATTCCTGACAGGCTGTTATCTTTCCAGTTAATTTATTTCCTCAGATGTTTTTTGCTTTTTGTGGTACTTGGGATTGAACCCAAGCCTTCCCACTGAGCTGTATCTTCAGCCTTTTTTAAATTTTGAAACGGGCCTGCTGACTTGTTCAGGTGTTACTCAGAGTTGCAATCAAAGTTGCAATCCTGGGGCTGGGGATTTAGCTCAGCGGCAAAGCGCCTGCCTGGCAAGCACAAGGTCTTGAGTTCGGTTCCCGGTACCGGAGAAAAAAACCAAAAACGGAAAAAAAAAAAAAAAGTTGCAATCCTGCCTCAGCCTTCCAAAATACAGAAATTATGGGCAAGCACCTCCATACCTAGAGGGAGGATTTTCTTAAATGCTCCTGCTGTGTAGCAGACCTGGATTGACAATGGGAACAAGAGGGTCCCTGCCTTCTACTCAATGCTAGAGCTGCTTTTTTTTCTTTTTTTGTCTTTGTGAGATAGGGTCTCACTATGCAGTTCAGGCTGGCCTTGAGCTCACTTTGTAGCTTAGGCTCGTCTAGAACTTGCAGCGATCCTCCTGCCTCAGCCTCTCGAGTACCAGGATTATAGGCGTAGGTCACCATGCCTGGCAAGGCTAGAGCTTCTAGTATTTTGGGGTTTTTTCTTGTACTGGACCTTGCTCTTGCCAGGACCCTGCACTTGCCAGGCAGGCACTGTGCTGCTGAGCTGTATCCCCAGCCTGAAGCATCTCATCTTGATGTGCAGATAACAAGCTAATAATCCCACAAATGAAATAATGCTGTCACAGGTCACAGTAGGAGAGCTTCTTGGGAGGTGACATGAGGGCACTGTATGTTGGAGGGCTTGAGGGGAGCCGAGCGAGGAGCCAGGGGAGGGTCAGAGAGCAGAGAGGAACAGTTCAGGGAGGAGGGGAAAGGAGAGGAGGTGAGGCTGAGGGTCTGGATGCAGGCCCAGCCCGCGTGCAGATCCAGTGGAAGTCTAACACCAGTGTCAATGGACCGCAGCTCCCCAGTGTCAAGCAAATGGCTCCTCTTTCCTGCCCCACCCCCCGCAGGCAGTGGAAGCGGCCCAGCTGGCTGAGGACCTCAAGGTGCAGCTGGAGCATGTGCAGACTCGTCTTCGAGAGATCCAGCCCTGCCTGGCAGAGAGCCGGGCTGCTCGTGAGAAAGAGAGCTTCAACCTCAAAAGGGCTCAGGTGCGTGCCTGAGCGAGGGCGGGCAGGCTGTGCCAGGGTTGCCGGTGTGGCCGCGCTGACGCTGCTGGAGCGAGAGTGCCCTCACTCTTGACCTCTCCTCTCTGCTGCTCCAGGAGGACATCTCACGGCTGCGGCGCAAGCTGGAGAAGCAGAGGAAGGTGGAGGTGTATGCAGATGCTGACGAAATCCTCCAGGAGGAGATTAAGGAGTACAAGGTGGGGCCGCTAGGCTGCGCTGTGCGGGGTTGGGAGAGGTGGAGGGGGGGGTCTCAGCGCCCTGGGCATAAGGTAGGCGAAAACACTGGAGTCAGGCGTCTCAGCACGTATTTCTTGGGCACCCGCCGTGTGCCAGTCACGGTGCCTGATCTGGGGCGTGGCGGGAGGGTTCAGACCTCCTGAAAGTGACAGGCAGTTGGGGTGGGGCGACCAGGTAGTTCTCCCCGGGGGATGAGGGGCTCCTGGGCGCTTGCAAGTCAGGCTTCCCGGAAGGAATGTCACCAAGGCCGCCCTGAGGAAGATGGAGCCCACCAGGGAGGATGGGGGGCAGTGTGAGGGAAAGGCTCTCGTGGAGGCCTTGCGCTGAGAGGGCTGTGGGCTGGCAGAGCCGGTGGGTGTGGTTGGAGGAGAGAGAAAGGGAAGGTGGCCGTGATGAGCCAGTCATTGAAGGCTGTGGGTTTCCGCCAAGAGGTGATGTTAGAGGGAACGCCAGGGTCTCGTGCGTGCTCACCACACCCTCTACCACCACCCCCACAAAGGGGTTTCGAACAGGAGAAAGACAGGTTTGCTGCTGGATTTGGGGTAAAGGAGATGATGGCCGGAGCAGGGAGGTTGTTCGCTGCAGCCACTGAGGTAAAGCATACTTAGCTGCAGGTATGGAGACAGTGGGTGGCTTTAGGAGCCACCTAGGAGGCAGAGACGCTTGGATTTGGGCCTGGAGTGAGGGCAAGTGAGACACTGGAGCAAACTCCTGGGTTCCCGGTTTGCAAAACAAGGTAAATGATACCTACTTTGCAGTCAGGAAGCCTGGAGGAGTGGGCGCTGGGACGGTGCCTGCGGGGCCTCTGGAGGCGAAAGGCTGGGCCGGGGTGGACTGCAGAGTGGGTCGGAGCAGTGCTGGGCAGTGGCGAGTCTGTTCTCGCCTGGTGTGGGAGGCAAGACCTCGCAGTGGTAGAAGCAAGGCTCAGGCTGAAGACCCACTGTGTCACACCAGGGCTGGGCCCAGCTGAGGGAAGGAATAGCACGTTTCTAATCGCACTGCCCTGCCTAACCGGCGCTAACAGGTGCAGGTGAAGGGAATGTAGCTTGGGTGGGGGTTTGGCCAGAGAAAGCCAGTGGGGCAGGTGATAAAGCCTGAGTGCCAAAGATTCTGGGCTGGTCCTTGTCCTTGGGAGAATTCAGACTTGGAGACCTTAGCCTCAGTTCCTCACTCATTGTCCAGGCCTTTGCAGCTCCAAGATCATGGTGAGTATGGGGCGCATCTGCTGTGTGGTGGTCTTAGCCTCAGTCACCGCCTGCTGCCAGCGTAGGGTCTGGGCACCGTCAGAGTTGTTCCAAAGCTGATGCCTTTGCCTGGTCCAGGCGCGGTTGACCTGCCCCTGCTGTAACACCCGCAAGAAGGACGCAGTCCTCACCAAGTGCTTCCACGTTTTCTGCTTCGAGTGCGTGCGGGGCCGCTACGAGGCCCGCCAGAGGAAGTGCCCCAAGTGCAACGCGGCCTTCGGTGCCCATGACTTCCACCGTATCTACATCAGCTGAACTTGACACTCAGGGGATTCTGGAACACCCAGACCGTGGGGGCTGTGCCCCTGGTCCTTCCCCGCCCAGGTGCAGTGGTTCCATCCCAGACCTTGTGGGCCCAGTCCCTGCCCGTCTAGTTGGTTTGGGGGCCCTGGTGCATGCTATGGGAGTGGAATCAGGCTCGACTCCCATGTTTTCCTGAAGGTCAGCTGCAGCCTAGAGGCCACTCCTGGGGGCCCAGAGCACTTGTAGAGCTTGGAAACTGGCTCTAACCCTGTTCTATCCCCATGGATCCATCCTAGTCCTACGGGGAAAATTCCCCAGGCTCTATCCTGCCCCGGAGGAGCCTCACCGCCTGCCAACACACGCACAGTGAGGACCAGAGGTGGGCCAGGCCTTCTGCCCCTTGCTTGAGACTAGGCCCTAGGGCCCTTTGGAGACTTTCTCCACCCACTACCCCTCACCCCCACCCTGTCCCCACCTGGGTAGGGCTGCCATCCTTCCTGAGGCATTCCCCAGACAGGGCTGTGGCCTGAGAGGACCACCCCTCCTAGAGGCGCTCCCCTCTTCCTCTGGGAAGCTGTGCAGTTGCTGGGGTCCCTGCTCCTCAGGAGTGCCGAATTGAGCCCACTAGTTTATATTCTAACGTCCCTCCGAATGTGGTTCTTTGCCAAGCCCACGTACCCCCCCAACCCATGCATCCCACAGCTCCACCGGCTCCCTGGCCCTAACCCTTTTCATCCTGGTGGCCTTAACTGCAGTGGAGGTGAAACTTCCCAGATGTGACAGACTAGTCCCAGCTGCTGGGCCAACTTCGGATCATTCCAGGTAGAAGAACTTTGCCCAGCACCCAGTGGCTGAGCCTGTAACCATGATGCTTCCTGTGCTGCCTGCCCAGGCCAACTTCATGGGCTGTGAAGTCAGCACCAGGGAGCCTGGGAGTGGCTCCGGACAGGCAGGTGCAGGGATGTACTTGGACTCAGCCTCTGCTCTAGAGATGTCTTGTATAGGCTGTCCATTGTTAGGAATAAATGTGCAACCCTTGGCCTACAGCCAGAGTAGCCAGACGCGTGCACCAAATGCAGTCCCAGGTTTCGCTGCTATGTCTGTCCGGCACTCGCCTTCTTCGGGGTGGACCTGGGCGGAGGCCTGGGCTTATATGAAAAACACTCCTGCCCGTCCTGATAGCTGAGTTGGGCTTAAGCTCAGTGGTGGTGAGGGAGCCCCCCTGGGAGAGGGCGGAGGAAGGGCGACTGCACGTACTGAATGCCCAAGGAGCAGCCGCAGCTGAGCTCCTCGAGTACTCCCTCTTCCCCACCCCCACCCCCGGCTGGCCACGCCCTCGGCGGTCATTGGCTGCTGCGGCGCAGGCTGCAACCTGGGAAGTGTAGTCTCGCGCAGGGCACTGGCAGGTTTCGGGGAGCAGGTTGCCGGGCTGTGCCGACGGAAAGCCGATGGTCCTCGGAGGTTTCACCGCCCCCACCCCACCAGCACACAGACTTGGGACGCCTCAGCCGGTGACCTCCTTCATTAACGCCTGCTCACGCCTCGGTTCAGCACGCTAGGGGGCCCGCGGGCGAGGCCATCGCCGCGGGGGTGCTGGAGCTGGACCTTGGGCCAGTGCTGGCCGGGGTCGAGGCGGTGGCGGCTGACTTGTCGTTGGCCGCGCTCTCCGGGGTCCCCGCCGCCATCTCAGAGGTCCCGGGTCCGGGGGAACTGGCAGCCTTGTCCGCTCTCGGGCCCCATCCAGCTCCCGGCGTTTCAGCGGGGTCGCCACGGCTGCACCATGTTGGGCTGGAGACGGAGGCGCGGGCTGCGGTGACCTCCGGCGCGGCGTTGGTGGCGACGGGCACGCTGGCGGAGCCACGTGCCGCAGCGGGCGAGGACATCGGGGCCGAAGGAGTTGTGCGCGGACGGGGCGCGGCAGTGCCAAGGCTGCGGAAAAGCAGGATTGCGTCACAGAGGTGCAGCCGTCTACGCCAGCGGCGCGGACCCGTGCGATGGGAGCTCTGGGCCCGGCGCGGGGCTCAGCCCGTCCTCTCCCAGCACGACCCCTTCTCGGGAGTCACCTGGAGCGGGCTGCTTGAGTCAGTGCAAGTACCTGGACGTGTCTTCCCTGAAGGCCAGCCTCCACGTCGGAGGGCGGGGCTAAGAACTCCCCGTTGGTCCTCGGCCTGATAGTAAAGTGGGCCTCCAAGGGAGCAAACACGGACTCGAGGCACAAAGGAACCCTCCGTGAACCTTGGCTTACCAAGAAGCCTCGCTGGCTTCTTAATGGTCATTCAGGCCTCTCTGCCTGGGAAGTCCGAGCCCTTCTAACCCCAGGAGACCCAGCAGGCTGGCTGTGGTAGGCCTGGCCCCAGGGATAAGCCCGCCAAAGCTGCTCTTCGGCCGGCGCTGACCTTGGCTGGTCTCTCGGGAGTGAGGCTGCCTCAGCGGTGGGCTTGCCTTCTTTATCCAGGCTAGAACTCACGACTGGAGCAGAGCATCTGCCAGGGACCGCTCCTAGAACCTCCCCTGGTTCCTGCAGAGCCACATTCCCTAGTTTCTTATGCTCAGGGCCTTCTGTTGCTTCTCTCCTTCTGTCCTAAACCAGACCCCCTCCAGACCCCCTTTCTCCTCTGCTGTGTTTATCCATGGCCCCAGCTATAGCTAAGCTGCTAAGGCCCAAATCCTCCAGACCTTGAAAATTACTTTTCTCAGGGGGAGAGGGACATGGCACACACAATCGCCCAATGGCCCCTCTTCCTTAAGAACAAGACACCCCACTTTCTGGCCTTTTTCTAACCTTACCTCCCTCAGCCATCTCTCTGCTCTTACCTGTGTGTGTCGCCTGCCTCCCTCCCCGCAACTCCTGGCCTCCGGACACAGGAGTCCCAGTTCCTGAGACGGTCATCCCTCAGGTCACTTACTCCCAAGTCACCTTGCTCAGAGCAACATCAGCTGCTTTGCTGAGTGTCGAGCCAGACCTACTTCCTCCCTGTGATTCCCTCACCTTGCTGAGGACGCCTTTAGCACAACGCTAATGCACCTCGGTGTTCCCGGGCTTGAAACCCAGGGACTGTGGAGAAACGTTCATTACTTCCCTATGCAAGACAAGTCCCTCCGCCCATCCTCCTGGACCCCCTGACTTTCTGGGCAGGGAAAGGAATGGACAGACAGACAGACTGCCCTGGGTCTGAGTCAGACTCGCCTTCCTGCCTAGGGTGAGAGTCCCTTATGAGGATGACAGAGGCAGGTGACAGGTGAGATGCAGCACCAAAGCAGGCTGGGCCTGGGGATCACCTGGAGTTGCCCCAACTGGCCCAGACAGCAGAGCTCACGCCAGGCCCAGGCAGGCCCCACCACGGGGAGGAGAGGCTGGGCGGGGCAGAGCCTGCTTGAACTTCTGTGGCTTTGGGGCAAGTGGCGGTGCTTCCCCGAGCCTCCGTGTTTCCACGTGGTGGGAGCCAGTGGGCTGACTCGGGCCGAGAGGATGAGTCAGGGCTCCCCCATCTCTCCTCAAGGGCCCAGAACCCAAAGGAGTTAAGAGAGGTGCCTGCCAGTTTCTGGAACACCTTAGGAGCTGTGGCACCCGTGGGAGGGTGTGGATGATTAGCCAGAGGCCTCCCTCCGGCTCCCTGGGGCTGGTCAGGTGGCCCCTGTCAGTAACCGGTCAGTCACCCAGCAGCCAGCCCGTTGTGCTGGTGTCAAAGCCAGGCACTGACACGAGCTGTGTGGCTGTGCCACCAGCTCATCAGGTTCCTCCCCGTCCTTCTGGGGGATACGTTTAAAATTTCATAAAGCCCTCAGTTTATCCCAGGGAGGCCCTGGGCACAATCGTGGGACACCTGGGAAAAGGGTGGGACGGCCTGCGCTGATGACGGGCCTTGGCTCAGAGCTTGTGCTAGGCTGAATGAGAAGATAAAAACACCTGGGAAATCTTATTCCCTTTATTCTCTTGAACTAATCAACAGGACCACCAGTGACACAACAATGTTATTGACACACAACACTCACAAGTGGGGCCTTTTCACACCGCGGGGACGAGTCAGGGGAGCGGGGCTTTCCTCACAGGGGCAGAGGAGTGCGGCAGCTGTTCACCTCAGGGCAGGGGTCATGGAACCCCACCTCTTGGTCTCAAGTGCCTCCCCCTTCCGGATTCATGCCCAGTTCTTTCGAGTTCCCCCATCTGACCTCCACAGCCACAGGAGTTTCAAGTTTCACCCTAAGCTCTGATCCTTTTCTTCCCTCCCCTGTCACCAGTGACTCCTCCTCCCGAGAGGGCTGTGGGCTGGTGTGGAGCTGGAGGAGAGGTTTGGATTACATTGCACTGTCCATACTTCGTCCCGTCAGGCAAGCGCCTCGGCCCCTTGGCCTTCGCCTGAGCTAGTCAGAGGCGCCCTGAACGCTGCCTCCCCCCTGCGTAGTTCCTCCCAAGATGGCTTCCTCCCAACTGGCTCTGGTAGGGAAGCAGCTGACTAAAGGAGTTGAGGGAGGTGGGCAAATGGACACAGGCCATGCAGAGGTCTGATTCTGCCCCTTTTCCACTAGGAAGCCCCAGTCCCCACTGCTCATGCCCACGACATCCGTTCAGCACCAGAGCCAAGACTCGTAGCCCTCACCCTTCCCCCAACATGCGAGCATCCTACTATGTATGCTACACCCTAGTCCTCAGTAGGCTACAGCTGGCCTCAGCTATACTGACCACCTCCCCCCAGAATGACCTGAGCCCCAAAAGCTGCTCCCCAACACCCTCCTGGGGACAGATTCTCAGACTTGTGTCTGAGGGAACCTGCTTCTAGCATTACAAGGGCTTTGTCTCTACATCTTGGTTTCTGCTACCATCTTGGAGACAAATCTGCTTAGACTGGGAGAACTTATCTCCTTGTCTTGCAGGGACACTCCCTTTGCTGACATCTGTCACTGGAGATTTGCAGCCAGGCTCCTCCCCGCTCAGTGGTGCTCTCCTACCTGGCGCTTGGGTGGGATGGGGCATCAGGCAGATGCTAACAAGGCTTTCCCCACAATCACGAAGGCCTGGACATTTCTCCCTCAGTGTTCTAGATCTGGGGCCTTTAAAATCTGAGCGTTATCCCTTTGGGGGCAGGATAGGTGAAGGGTGAAACGTTTTCATCTTTTGAACTTCTAGGCAATGGAATCGAGGTCTCTTCCATAGCTTTGCAGGAGTCCAGGTCACCTCTCTCTCCACACACAACTCCTGAAGGGCCACTTCACCTGGCATCTCAGTCCTACTTCCAGACAGTCTGTCACTGGTGCTAGCACTTTGTCAGGGAGCACTTCCTTTCCGACCCACAGTGACTGGATTCCTCTCCATCTTTAAGAGTCTCCAGGGCCAGGGGGCATCCTGGTGGCAGATGTTTCTCTCAAGAGTTTTCTCTCTCCAACCATTTTAGAGTAACTGTCTCTTGTCACACTGCCCCTCACGTGAGCAGGTCTGGCTGAGTTTATGAAAGGTGTGTCTGTGTGTCATGTGAGCTGGGCCTGGCAGGAGAGTATCTCCCGTCCTTCCACTTCCCTCTGAAGGTTTCTGGCTAAGGAGAGAGGAGCGTAGACTCTGTCCCTTCCCAAGGCCATGATCAGGATGGTCGTCCCACCTCAGAGCTGCAGATACCAGGCTGAGGAAGGTGGTCAGGCTTCTGTGGATTCTTCAGGGATCTGTGGTCCAGCGCACAGGAAGGGCTGAGGTTGAAAGCAGGTTGCTGGCTAATCCAAGCTCTGTATCCTGTCATCTTGCCATCAGCACAGAGCACTCATAAATGGCTCTTGCTCAGAGAAGTCTAGGGAGGACAACCACACACAAACCTTGAGTCTCTGAAGGAATTTATTCTTTGGAGGTTGACTAGCAGCAGTTCTCCCTCTTCACTGAGGACAGAATTTGAGGAAATGGGCTGCCACGGCAGCAAGACTGGTGGCAGTTAGATTTTAGGAAAAAACCTGACCGTGAGACCTGAGAAAGTGGCAGAGGCCCCCTCCGACCTAGAGGCCTCTTAGATGTCTCCAGCTAGCCTGGGGAAAAGAGGGGTCCTGCCTGGTGGCCTGAGCTGGATCTGCTTGTACTTGCAGTTTAACAAGGTCCCGGAAAGGAGAGAAACTGGCCTGGCGTTTACTGGGTTCCACTGGAACAGTTTCTCCACCTTGGTCTGCTTCCTTCAAAGTGAATCTAGCGGAAATCCCCTCGAATTTTTGTGGTGGCCTCTCAGTATTCTTACACTTAAAAAGTTAAAAAAAAAAAAATCCACCCCAAACTTCAGCCTTTAACAAGGTTTGACATAATTTGTTTTCTTCCTCATTTTGGGTTCTGGGTAGTAACGGACTCCGTGGGCCTATTCCCTCACACATATACTTCTAAGGTTGGCCTCGTGTCCCAAGGAACCCCCCGGTGCAGCGAGCTGGGCTTTTTCTTCCTAGTCTCTTTTCCTCTATGGGTTCCGAAGCTCCTCATCACTTACTTTCCTCCTGTTCTCTTCCTTCTCCAGTTGCACCCGTCCCCACACTATTCTTCAGCTGAGAATTCTCCCCAGGGTAAGGTCCACGACTGCGGGGGAGGGGCTCCCTCCCACACTCGCGCAGGAGGCAGCACTGGGGACAGGGGTGTCAGGTGCACTTCCCACACTTGAGGGTCGCCCTCCTGATTCAAGGCCATGTGGTATTTCCTGCCCTTCCCGACCCTCTCGAATTTTGATAAGGAGTTTGAGGATTTCGATACAGTTATGGGGTTGCCTAGAGACGTATTGAGACCTCTTCCTACAATTAATAGGGCTTTTATCCACTATGGTTTATAGGGTTTTCTGCTACAGACTTAAAGGGCTTTCATTTGTTTGTCCTATATATTTATAGGTTTCTAACTCAACAGTTTTTCTCTACTGCCTTTTAAGTGGTTCCCACCAAAAATTGTCTAGGGTTTCTCATGACTGATGTAAAAAACACTTTTTCCCAGGGTTCATCCTCCATTTCCCTACAGTCTGACAGGGTTGACCTCCTTTCTCCACGATTTTTAGGGGGCGGGGTCCAGGGTTCCTCTCAGGAGAGAGAGGTCCTGGTCTCCAGACTCGTTTCACAGGGAGACACCAGGATGGCAGCTCCTGTGGAGGAGGAGGGCTGCGACTTCTGTGAAGCCGTCTCCACACTCCGGGCACAAGTAGGGCTTTTCTTCTGAGGGGGTTTTGGGGCTTCCCCCTTCCCTGTGGCTGCCACTTCCCGTGGGGCTGGAGGCCGCCCCCTCGCCTTCCTGGCTCGTGGACAGGGTGGCTGGCTCTGGCAGGGGGTCCTTGGATTTGGGGGACTTTTCTTGGGTGTGTGTTTCCTGGTGCCGGAGGAGAGCCAGCCGATCTGGGAAGGAGGCCCCGCAGTCGGAGCAGCCGTAGGGTCTGGCCCCCAGAGGGCTCCTGAGGTGCTCCAGCAGGACCGAAGAGCTCTTTCCCAGCTCAGAGCCCTTCCCCAGCTCAGAACTCTTCTGGGATTTCCTGCCTGCGTGGACTTTCTGGTGCTGCAGCAGCTCAGAGCTGAGACCAAAGCTTTTTTTGCATTCGGGGCATTTAAAGGGTTTTCCACTTAGGAAAGGACTGGGGCCTGCGCCTGCCCCTGGCCCTTCCCCTGCGCCAGTCCTACAGTCGGGAAAGAGAAAAGGCTTTTCACTGCCATGGGTGAGCTGATGTTGGACAAGCACAGCGCGATCCAGGAAGCTTTCTCCACAGTGGGAGCAAATGTAGGACTTGGAGGAGAGCAGCCCCAGCCTCTGGCTGAAGCCCTCCTGACCCTCTGCCACCTTAAGGGACTGGCCTGCGTGGTCAGCTTTGCCCTCCACAGCACCCGGGTAGGAATTCCCTCCAAAAGGGAGCCTTGGCGGTCGGAACTGAGGAGGTTTGGGAGCTGGGTGTGTGATGTGACCGTCTGCATTTTTGTAGGGGTTTTCTCCGATGTGGATCCTCTGGTGCTGCATGAAGATCCCCTCGTCGTTGAAGCCCTTGCCGCAGACCAGACACTTGTGGGGTTTGGCTCCGGGCGGTGGGGTCAGCAGGGCGGGGTCCCCGAGCCCCAGCACGGAGTCACCCTGAGCCCTGCGGGCAGGGGTCTTGCCCCTCTCGTGGACCACCCGGTGCTGCTCCAGCTCGTGGGCCTCCAAGAAGGCCTTCCCGCAGTCGGAGCACACGAAGAGGTTCTCGTCCATGTGCGTGCGCACATGCGTGATGAGGTTGGAGCTCTGGCTGAAGCTCTTGCCGCACTCCGGGCACTTGTAGGGCTTCTCGCCGGTGTGCGTGCGGCGGTGCTGGATGAGGTGCGAGCTGCGGATGAAGCTCTTGCCGCAGTCGGAGCACTTGTAGGGCTTCTCGCCCGTGTGGATGCGCTGGTGGCGGATGAGCGTGGAGCTCATGATGAAGCTCTTGCCGCAGTCGGCGCAGATGTAGGGCCGCTCGCCTCGGTGGATGCGCTGGTGGTTGATGAGGTTGGAGCTCACGCTGAAGCTCTTGCCGCACTCGGGGCACTTGTAGGGCCGCTCGCCCGTGTGCGTGCGCTGGTGCCGCAGCAGCGTGGCGCTCAGGGTGAAGGTCTTGCCGCACACGGGGCACTTGAAGGGGTCCTCGCGCAGGTGGGTGCGCTGGTGCTTGATGAGCGTGGAGCTGTGGCCGAAGCTCTTGCCGCACTCGAGGCATTCGTAGGGCTTCTCGCCCGTGTGCGTGCGCTGGTGCTGGGTGAGCTCCGAGCTCTGGATGAAGCTCTTGCCGCACTCCGTGCAGCGGTAGGGCTTCTCGCCGGCGTGGATCTTCTGGTGCTTCAGGAGGTTGTGGTTCTGGCCGAAGCGCTTGCCGCACTCGGGGCACTTGTAGGGCTTCTCGCCCGTGTGCGTGGCCTGGTGCTGGATGAGGTCCGAGCTGCGGTAGAAGGCCCGCCGGCACTCGCTGCACTTGTAGGGCTTCTCGCCCGTGTGCGAGCGCTGGTGCTTGATGAGGTTGGTGCTCTGGGTGAAGGCCTTCTCGCACTCCGTGCACTTGTAGGGCTTCTCGCCCGTGTGCGTGCGCTGGTGCTGCACCAGGTTGGAGCTCCAGCTGAAGCACTTGCCGCAGTCGGGGCACTTGTAGG